TGTGTTCTCATTAGAGAACTGGATATTTGGATAAGTCTCCCTTCTCTATGTTTTGTAGTAATATCAATAGTAAAATGTGGCTGGGTGGGCTTCTTTTCAAATATGTGCTTTTAATATTTTTCAAAATGATAGTAAATGCCTGACTTTAAAAAAAAATCTGTTGAACTTAGCATTTCTTTTCTTTCCATTGGAGCAATCTTTGGGAGACTCTTGATTAACAAAGCGTGCCCTCTCTCAGAAGGTCAGTGGCTTTAATTCTGCTGCATCCACAGCCCTGTGCAATGCACTTCACGGTATGGGTTGAGGGTTTGGTTCCTGCTCCTCATTCCATCCCTCCTCCCTGCCCTACCTGGTGGTTAAGCACCTTCTAAGTGTCAGGCACCTGTTAGGGTTAAACCAGTGATGCAGGCAGACAAGATCCCAGCCCTGGTAATCCACTGAGAGGAGAGATGGCAGATGTGATAGTTCCAGGTATGGACTATCTAGGTAAGCGCTCCATTGATCCTGCCAGACTCTGTGTTGGAGGAGCCTCTCATGACTCCGTCTCTCCTACCCCTCCCACCTGGCCCTTGCACCTACCACTGCTATGCTTCAGTCATCCTTTGATTTCTGACAATGCCCCTGAACACATGGACACCTGTGCACAAGGGCACACTGGCACACACACCCATGTACATACAGATGTGTGTGCACACACACATGCACACAGCCTAAAAACTCTCCAAGGAAGGAGGCTAGTCTGGCTCTCAACTTGTCCACAGGCAGCAGCAGCAGCAGCACTGGCCCTTTTGTCCTTGGCGTGTTAACCCCCTTGTATCCAGATTGTGCATTGTGGTGTGTAGAGTCCTCTCAGTCCCCCCAGCCTCTGGGGCCGAAGCTGCAGAAACAGACCAGGGACCCTGTGGCAAGGTGCCTTGATGACTCCTGCAGGATGCTGAATCCTGACACAAAGACACCGCAGGTCCCATGGAAGTGGAGAGGAGGAACCTCATCCCTGTGAACGAATAAGTCATCCAGGGACCTTGAGCAGAGCAGGTGCAGTGGTTGAAGTGCACAGGGCACAGTCAGAGGGGTGTTTCAGAAAACCAACAAGGAGTGAGTATGCCTGCTCAGGGGAGTAGGGGAAGGCAGGAGGTAGGGAGCCTTTGGAATCCAGGTGCGGCTCATGGAAAGATGGCTCAGCAAAGAGGACTTGGGTGTGTTTCCCGCTGTGCGCAGAAGCGGAGATGGAAGGGCAGCCATTTCAAGGGTATAGATGAGGAAATTCGAATGGAGCATGCTAAGCCCAAGAGACCAGAAATCTCAGTGGTGATCTCACAGGCTACTAGAAGTAGCAATATTCCAGAAACAGTAATGCTGCGTAAGCATATTCTGCAGAATGCTGTAAGTTAGCTGTTCTAAGGAATTCATTGTATTTTCAATAAATTCAAAGGGTCTGTTCTTTTTTTTTTATCATCATAATCTTCTTTATATTACATTGGATTACATATAACTTTACATTGACTTCCATTGCTTTTTCAAAAGGGAATGCCATGCATGTCAGTCAATACAGAGGCATCGATCTCCCCGCTTTATCATTCAAAGTCTTTTCCATGCATTTCCCAATAATTAATATTATTATAATTTTTCAAAACAGACAATCACTGTTTCTCATTTTGCTTGTTAAAAGACTTCACCCATCATGAAATACTTCCCAGACCAGTCCAGTTGAGAATACTATACACGTCATCTTCAAGAGATAATAAACCATATCTATTTCTCACTAACATCCTCTCTATTGTTCACTTGCTATCTTTCTCTATCCTCTTCTCTCTTCTTTTTTTTATAGTTTATTTTTGACTATAATTTTTTTTTCCCATCGTGACACACAAATGACTTTTCCATCCAAGATATACTGTGCATTGGCTCAATCAAGCACGTCAACATATATGTTCTCAGCAAATAATTTCCCAATTCCCGTGTCCTGCATACCTTGCCTTTTGTTTTACCATCCTAGATTCCCCATCCCC